AACGCGAAGAAATATGCGATAATACGTATACTAAGAGAACACCTTATAACGATCCTTTATCACTTATGCATATAGATCATTGCTCTGTAATGATCTATAATGATGATAAGATAAATCAACATAGTAAGAAGCATAAATTAAATTGACCTACTAAATTATTACCCAAACTAAATATTACTCTGAATTTAACACACACACTCTATATATATAAGAATTAAATTAAAAAATTCATTTAATAATATTTCAATTTAAAAGAAAAATACAAATAATCGTTAAGAACGTGTACGAACGATTAAATGGAGTTTTACAAAATTGATGAAAGAACAAAAAGATTTGTCAAAAGATTATCGCAGCGTGAGGGATATAGTGACGATGTCTTAGTGTACAAGCAAGTTATACCGACACACATATATACGTTTTAAAGAACAACGTTTTTCTTGTAGTTAGGTGTAAAGTCTACCGAGGAAGAGAAAGTTCCAAAGCTCCGAGATTTCGTGGGTGGGACAAACAAAGCAATTACAAGAAAACGAAATAAGGGAAACTAAACGATTCTAACACTCGATCGCATTTTAAGAGAGTTTACTCGTGCTTTACTTCTTTCTTTCTTTTTTTGCCGTATATTTAACCTTTGCCTTCTGTATAATATATTTTTTTATTTTTTCTTAATTATTATTTTGGAAAAAGAAAAACATTCCAGACAGAGATAAAGAGATAAAAAAAAAATAAAAGAGAAATTGAAAAGATAGTTAGGTCTCTTCTTCCAGAAGAAATCTCTTCCGTGTAATCGCCGATAGTTCGCCACGGCAATAAGTCCGGATATACGAGGTACTTAAGAAGAAAACAGAGAGAAAGAGAGAGAGAGAAGGCAGGAACTCCTAGATGCACATTCCTCGGCCCTTCTAGCGCGACACACACAGACAAAACTTCGGATGCAGCAGTTAGGGCTGCAGAGTCCGCTGCATGCTCGAGCTGCTGTCTTTAATATGCGACGGACAAGCTGACCTCGCCCTTTTCCTGCCGGTTACTCGTTTTAGACTATTATCTACGTCTATGTAGAGAACGCTTAGCTACTTTACTCGACGGGTTATGTTACTACTAAAGAATTTATAATAACCGCGTTATTAGTTCGCACACGAAATAGCACGAGTCGGTGTTGTGTCAGTTTCGAGAAAAACAATGAGACTTTTATATATAGTCTTTGCGTAAACCACGCAAAAAAACGTGAACCACGAAAAATTTGAAGCAAACAAAATTTTTAAAATTGTACGTGACATCCCCCTCCTCTACGATATTTACGATTAATATTTTTCATTTACAAGTGTGAAATTTGAATCTTCGTCGTGATTTAAATGACTCTCGCGATGACACGAGTTCCTAAATCTGCCTGATTTAGCAAGCGAACGACCGTAACGAACATCATCGAAATGTTCTTTGGAAGCGTTGAACGGTGTTAAATCGTTAACGACGAAAAAGAACTGCTTTGTTCTATAAAAACAAAAACAAAAAATAGTCTATTACTTCGGGCTAGTCGAAAAAAAAGAAGAAGATGAAGGAGGAGGAAAAAAAAAGAAATTGGAGCGAGGACATACGAATAATCGGAAAATTAAAGCGTGGAAAAAAAGCACGTCGTCAGTTTCTAAGAGCAAGGTCACGCACGAGGCAGAAATTCTTACCAGTCATATTCGTCTTCGATGCGATGGATTTTACATCGTGCAAACTACGAGGTCGGAATTTGAATGCGTATAAACATATGTCACTTGGCAAATGTTGCAAGTTACGCGAGCGAGTGCACTTCGGTGCACTTTGCGTTATAAACCACGCAAAACCGGCTGTAATCCTCCACCTCCTCAATTTCTTCTTCTTCTTATTCTTTTTCTTCGTCTTCATCTTCTTCTTCTTCTTCTTCTTCTTCTTCTTCTTCTTCTTCTTCTTATTCATCTTTGTCTTTTTGTTGTTCCATTTCTTCTTCTTATTTCGTTCGACCACTGTTAGAGTTTCCACGGCTCGATGAATTCCCAGAAAGGTTCGGCGTAGGAACGGCAGCAATTGGATGTAGTTACGCATCGAATGACGATGCAACCGAGGTGCGGAAGGCCAATTCTACTTCTCCATCCTTTTTCTCTAATTCTATCTAACTCTCTCTCTCTCTCTCTCTCTCTCTCTCTCTCTCTCTCTTCTTTTCTCTGGATCTCGTCTTTTCTCGCACCGTTAGCGAAGGAAACTGGATCCGAGAGTAGAGGATGCGTTTCGTGGAAAATCATTGTTTCCTCTAACACACACGTTAATGCGAATCGTACTCACTGAAAGCTTTCGCATCTAGTCCAAGTATGTCTACCTTGAAAAATCGAATGAGAACGTAACAAAAGAGCCGTACCAGAGATGATCGTATTGTTCTTCTACCAACGCCATTCGGTCTCGTTTTACCTTTCGTTCTATCCCATTCGTCCAAATCCGTTGGTCAAAGGCTTTTCGAATCGAAATTCCAATCGAGTACGATCTTACTAGACCGTGCTAGAAAGATAGAAGATAACTTCGTAAAAGGTAACTTCGTTAACGTTCAAACAGAGTACCCACCAGCAGCCAGCTCTTTGCGTAAAAACGATCGTTATACATTAAAATACGAATTGGTTTAAGGAAAACAGTAAATCACTGTGATACTCAGACGTTCCAGTGATTTGTATCGAAAAGAGTTCAATTTGATTTTCCTTAGAGGAGTAAAGTGACGTTCAGATAGAAAAAAAAAAAAAAAAAAACTAGAAAAACTACTACGAGAGATATGGTAGCTTGCCAGGAAGGGAAAAAGAAACGGGGGGGGGGCGGTAAGAGAAACGTGCCAGATAAATATGAAGGAAAGAAATGGAGAAAATAAAAAAGGGAGGAAGGAAGGAAGGAAGGAAGGAAGGAAGACACAAAAAAAGAACTAGCGAAAGTCTTTGAAAAGGAGAGAAGGAAAAAGATGAGACTAAGATAAATCCCCTTCGCTGGCTAAACGGCGTCTCTCGATTTCGTAACGTTTTACTTTTACGAGTCTCTCAGGGCGCATTAGTCGAGCCGATGGCACGTTACATACTTCGCGATCCTAATTATTAATGTTACGGTTATTACCGTTATAGCCACCGCAAGAGAACGACTTCGGCCGTCTCATAAAGTAACGCCTTATCGATCCAACGAATGCGTTCTGGCACACACCATGTGTCCCTCCTATATCCCTCTCCACCCCCCTTTCTCTCCCGATTTTCTCTTCCTTCTTCTTTTTTCTTTCAACTTGTACTAGTACACCTCTGTTAAGAACTTTTACGCTTTCTTTTTCCACGAGTCCGTTCGTGGAAACGAAACGAAACGAAACGAAACGAAACGAAACGAGACACGATGCTCGTCGCCAACCCAACTATTCGCGCCAACTATTCGATACATTCGCGTTATGCTAACGAAGTAGAAAACCTGATTTAAATCCTAGTCTTAGATCTCGAATATCTCTAGTTTCTTTTTATTATTTTTATTAAATTCCACTAGATCAATTTATCACGAACGATAACCGTAAATTCGGTATTCGTTTCTTTTCTCATCTTCTCTCTCTCTCTTTCTCTATCGTATAATCTCAAATGTCACTTTTTATTCGCGATAAGAGAGACTTTTGCGTATTTAAGACGACGACACGAAAGGTGGAATTGAATTTTCGTGTGACGAATTTATCGTTAGAGAGAGAGAGAGAGAGAGAGAGAGAGAGAAATGACTCTCTTTTACCTTGATTACGATCTTAGAGAAAATCAATCCTTTTGTCGAACTATTCATTCATCTTCGCGGACTTTATTAATCCAGCCACGCGTTATTCTTCCATTTCTTCTATTAACGTCTCTCCCACGTAATGGAAATTTATTCGTCTCTTTCAATATATATTTTCTCTCCTTTAGCTTTTTCGTTTGGTTATTTGGGTCCTAACCTATCCAGGGAAACCCCCCCCCCTTTCTGACCTCTTTACTATTACGTACGAGGAATATGAATCTCGAACCACGTTCGAGCGTGCATCTCCTTACGTGCGTCCGCCGAGAGATGTGCTGAACTGGGAATTAATGTTACTTCTTCTATTCTCCTCTTCCTCCTCCTCACTTTCATTCTTTCACTTTCTTTAATGTAAATTTTCCGTGAACCAAGCGAAAAGGAATTTAAATTCTAACCTTTCTCTCTCATGCCATTCCCTTGTAATAATAGAGGCGCCAAGGGGGAATAGCAATGTATCATTTGGGAAGAAAAAAAAAAAAGAAAAGAAAAGAAAAAAAAAAAATGTTTACGGTTCTCTTTCCTTTCCCCGTTTCGTTCCTTGCTTCCGATTATTTTAGCCTAACACACATCGAAAATTTGACTGTTCCGTAAAAACGTGAGAGATTCCCTTTGCCCTCGCTCGGCCTAAATCGAATTTCGAATAACGCGATATAAATCGTCGCAGAGAGGAAAAAAGGGTATCATCTTTCTCCGTTCGATATAAAGTTTTATTAAAATTCATAAGGTGTGTGTGTGTTATATCCAAGCGAAAAATATCCTCTTTGTATTCGACATCGTTGTCGAAGGATATGGAATTGTCAACAATATGCAAAGTATATATCGTTGCGTCTAAAGATATAGGTATATACATATATTATTCTAAGAACACAAACAAACTACTTTTTATACGATGGTAGATATAAAGTTGAAGCTGATCGAAAAAATAAAGTCAGTCTGTCTAGTTTTATAAACGTAAACGAATACACCAACTGGATAGCAGGTAAGCGATACTTTCTTTGGCTTTAAGCTTGATAGAACTGATAACAAGATTTTATTGATTTTTCCATGTACTCGCAAAACGTTTTAGCAAATAATTGTAAGGGATAGACATACAATATAAAAGAAAGAAAGAGATAGATAGATAGATCGAAAAAGAAACCTTTATTCGTCTTTCGTGCGTTTTACCTCGAACGACGATACATTCTACGTTACTATCAACCTTTTTTCTCTTGTGATTGCAGGATTGCCGTTTTACTTGGTCGTCTTCGTCGTCATCGTAGCAAGTGGAACGTAGAAAAAGGAAAAGGAGTGATCGAAAGGAAGATCCCAAACAAGCGAGCGACTTCTATTCACGCATCGTTCACAGTGAGTCAATGAAAATCGAACGTTTTACGATCTTCTTTATATTCGCTCTATTTTTTTTTTTTCTTCTTTTCTCCATTTTCTTTTTTTTCTATTTTTCTATTTCTTACCCGCTTACAATGTCGACGACACGAATTATACGGGACGGTAGATTAGAAACCGATCCTCTCGAATTTATTCCCGATCGACTTTTATGACGTAAGTCGCCCCCCCCCTCCCCAGAACCCGTCGATTACAAGTCAAAGTTGGTAGAAAAGATGTTTGAAAATTTATTGTCGTTTCTACTAACAATAAAGGACCACCGTCCGCTTAGATCGTAAAGAAATATCGCCATCACTGTTAGCCGATAACTGCGCTACGTATCGTATTCCAACGATCGTCGAATCGTTTTGATACCATGACGATCTTTATGAGCGCAACTTTACCGTCTCGACGAGATATTATTCCTCGTCCCTCGTCATCCTACCCCCTACCCCCTATCCCGCACAGCCCCACCTCTTCCTCCATCTTGTCCTAGTCCTTACCAGGAGCCCGTTTTCTTTTAAAGAATAAACGAGCCTTCGAACGTGGGTCGTAACACGTTGACCGAAAAGAACTCACTCTTTCTGTCTCTCTCTCTTTCTGTTTCGAACGATTCAACATCTTGACGTACGATACGAACTTTTTTCCCCCAACACCCCTCTCCCTCCCCTCCCCACATTTACTACACTTTGATTTCTCTCGTGACCGACACTATATCGTCGTTTATGGTCGTGCCAGGCAGCAACAGCAACAGCAGCAGCAGGGATACTATGTTCCAGGCACCGGAGAGGAGCATTTTCATTTTTCCTCGCGACTATATTTACTTCTGTTAGATCGTTATTTTTTTTTGCGACCGTTTCGCAAACGATATACTTCTAGATAATCTCTACGTTATCGATCATTCTCGATACCATTTGTATTTGTATCACGTACCGACATAATATAAACGGGTACGAGTATCGAAAAAAGAAAAAGAAAAAATGAGAATGATATTCTCTCGTTGCCACGGTATTATATTGAATTATTCGATTTCTCATATTTCTTTTTTTTTTTTTAATGCGAATTTGAAAGAGAAATTATTTATGAAGTATAATTCTTCTTTTAGCATATAGAACTCAAACGCTTGGAAATTAATCGGTTAACTTGCTTTAACGTTTTGCCACGAGTTACGTACGTATGTACAACACCGTGTAAATAATTTATAATATTCGCGATATGTATTATTAATCATCTACATTTGATGATGTAGAAAAGAGGGGAAGTAGAATATAATAACAAATCGTTTCGCGTTATGTTTAATTATTGTTCGCGTCAAATTTAGCAATTAATGTGATAACGAATGTCATAATTGACCGACACCTTTCATCTTATCGATGAAAATCTTAACTGGAGTTAAGATGACATAGAAGATAGATCTAAGAAACTGATGTAGAATAACGAACGTATTTGATTTTTCTTTTCTTTACTTTACTTTACTTTCTTTTTTTGTATTTCTTCTTCTTGACGTAGAGAGATAAATAGATAAGAAGAGTAGACATATTTCGGTATCTATCAGAATCTCGAGTATCTTTAAACTCGATCCGTGGTCGTTACGTTGAACGTCGTGTACCGGTTTGCCGGTGACGTTCTAGACACTTACACGAAGATTCGTTACACTATCCAATCTTAGAATAATATCACTCTCATCGTTTATCGTCTGTGCATAAGCTAGAGAATTTGATCTCTTATATTTGCGTCAGCATATATCCGTTGAACGAAGATGAAAATCGAAAGAGAAAGGGAGAGGACGCTCAGTGACCTAGCAAAGGGAGACAGACGGTTGGGGGAAGAGGGGGAAGGAGGAAGGCAGATAGAAAAAGAGACACAGGGAATTAAGCATCCGTGCTCCTTGCTTATGTTAGCTTACCTCTACTACCTCTCCTGTACTTCAAGATATCTCGAGTGGCAGTGTAACGCGGTAGAACGGTACGTAATTAACGCCTCATGTAGATGCTATCGGGTCTAGGAAGATACGCGAAGGGAAAGGGCCGCGTGACGACCGGTGATATACGGCCTTAGCTTACCCTAATGGAATATTATTATCGGTCAACATGAACTCGTTGGGGTTGAATTAGTGATAGTGGTGGTGTACGCCTCTGTCGACGACGTCCTCGTTGATATCGTACGTACACATTGACATCGTTTTCATAATACTCTATGGTAACCCGATTAAATAAATTATACATTCTTTTCTTATTATATTACCTTTCCTTTATTATATTTTCATTTATCGTCTTATAAATACCAAAATTCTTCTCGAATAATTTTGACAATTTCTTTAATAACTCGTGCGGGAAAAATATTCGTAAGATAATGTAAAAGAAAGCATTCGTACCTTAGTCGAAGACAATGATCTTTGATTATATCAATACTTATCTCTGTTCGAAGAATATTTTTCGCGAATGGACAAAAATTCTTAAAGTTTTTATTCGACTACTACTACAACTACCTTCTTTCTTATTGTTATTCCTTCATTCCAATCTTAACAATACTTTTTTTCTTTTTCTACTCGATGAGGAGAGTTTAAACTTTAAAAGTTAAATATAGAGTTGGCGCGAGGACAATTCCGAAGTGGCTTATTCGACGAAGCGGAAAGTTTATCCGAGGATAATTGTCGAACAAAAGAATCCTCAACGGAAGGAACATTGAAAAGACGTTTGACCAGTAAAATAATGCGCAAAACGAAAACGCGTTGAAAGTCGATAGAAATCGGGGTAGAGGAAACTAGAAAAGGATTAGGGAAAGGGAAGGGAAGGGAAGGGAAGGGAAGGGAAGGAAAGGATTCGAAGGAGCAGCGGGCCATTGTGTTGCTAGAACTCCCTGTCGAACTTTGTCGTGACTTCTTAAAAAGTCGTAAAGGACAACGTTGAAAGGCAACATGTTCCAAAAGTGTCTTTCACAACCGTGAACGTTTCTCAACGGTGGTTCTCCTTTTTCATTTCCCAACCGACATCTCTTATCTGTCGTTGACTAGAACGATTATTTTGCCTTTTACAGGTCAGAATATATCCTTGCATCCCTTCTTTTCGGGTTTATCCTACTCTGACTCTTCTGATAATACAATTTTTCTGCTAGAAATCGAACGACATTATTGGAATATTTACCGAAAAGTCTATTGCACATACGAACGACATATTTTCAATACGAACGAGCCCCACTCCCTACCCCCCCCCTTTTTCGTATAATACCCGAAATATAGATTCGGATTTACAAAAACGGACGAGAGTGGGAGGGGGGGGGAGGGTACTGATCAGTATTCCCGATGCATATTTCATTCGCGCGGGTTGTCCCGATGCAACTGTTGATAATTTATGTGGCTGTTAATTTCTACGATAGCAACTCGACCGTTGGCGATTTATTTACACTGGAAATACGGTCATTAGTATTTATTTGTAATCAGCGAACGAAATTGCATTAACGACGAGTGGACGAAAGACAATCGTTTCTCGATTACTCAGAGAAAAAAAAATAAAAAATTTGGTCACGAGAGGGAAAGCGAATTAATTCGAACAGAGTAATTGTTCTTTTGAGAATTCCATTCAGTATCTTGCATTATCTCTCTCTCTCTCTTTCTCTCTTTTTCCTCGTGTCTCTGTGTGTATTTTTTGTAGCTTTAATTTAACATTGATATCATTTCTGTCGAATAACAGTTCGTAATAATACTTAAGGAACAAGTGCGGAAGATGATCGCATGATCGGTTAAACGTCGTTTAATAAAGCACATAAAAGGAAGGTACGAAAAGGGCACGAAAAGAGTAACGTGTAAAGTATGTAATAACGGTACGACGGTAGAATACATGCGATTAAAGAGAATAAGAAGGGTGCGAGGAGTAGAGTAAAAGTAGGGAGGGATAAACGATCCGACAGCGAGAGAAAAAGGAACGACGAGAGGTGAATAGATAGATAGATGTAGTAGCAACACTAGCACCAGCACCAGCACCAGCACCAGCAGCACCAGCACCAGCAGCACCAGCACCAGCATGAGAGAGCTCGTAGAATGCGGGAGGAAGATTCTAGGTGCGCCTTTCAAAGTGAAAATTGAGACGCGATTACGTACTTTATGGCAGCGACGATTTTCGAAAAATATGGCCGCATACCGACGCAACGGCTAAGTCATAAAATCAGCATATTCCCAGGGCGGAGAACAGTATCATGAATTTCTCGAAGGGAAAGAAAGTAAGAGCCCCGGATCTGGAACGAAGGATTTATTCGAGCATAGATTACGGGTTTTGCCTTCTTCGTCAAGCGAGGAGCTTCTTGCCGACGTATACAGAAACACGCGCGAACGGACCTGTGTTAACTCTTTCTTTTTTTATTTTCTTTTATTTTATCCTAAATTTGAATTTAAGAAGAAGAAAAAACAAGAAAAAACCAATTTGAAATAAGCTAGGAACGAAAAAACATGCGAGGAGGAGGAAGAGGAGGAGGAACGACGAAATCGACGATTCGTGCGAGTTTTTCTTTTCTTTTTTCTTTTCTCATCAAAACTTTTCACCATCGAGTTTTTTTCTAACGTGAAAACTCGCAGCTTCGATGACACGGTTCTACGTTATATTCGCAAATGCGGAATTCCGAACGTCATTGTTAACATCGACGATCGTTTCAGGAAATGAGGGTAATGTAATCGCGAAACACGCGATTGATACGTTCTCCTATGCGAATATTGTGAAGTGAAAGAGAAAGAGATAGGATAGATAGAAAGAAAGAAAAAAAGAGAGTAAAATTTCTTTCTCCGTTGAAACAATGCACGTATCCGCCGGAAGCGACACCCTTTCTTTTTTTTTTTCTTTTTTTTTTTTTTTTTTAAACCGTGTTTGTTAGTATATACGATGACTTTCCTTGTCTCTCTTTTCTTTTTTCCCGCCCCCTCTCCCTCTCTTTTTACCGAAGCATTGGTCTTTGGTTGGTGCAACATTGCGTTTATATACGTAGACTATTACTCA